GCAAAGGTATTTTATTTTGGTTTGACACAATATCATTTATTTAGTATGATTTATAAAACGAATAGATATGTCAGGACTCTACAAAGGAAATAAGAATAGCGTTGAATACGCCACATCGCCGACTTGGGTGCAATTACAATCCACAGACTGATTTTGTCTATGAGCACGTAAGAACGACGGTTTCTGATTGGTGAGTGAAGTGAAAAACTTTTATAATTTATAGTACTCCGAAAATCCGAGCTTCGGTTACCATTCAGCCAGAAAATCTACTTATTCTGCGTTGAACTAATAAGTCATTATTGTATAGGGTCCGACTTCTCGAAATGCAACCAAATTCATTAGCTTTGGACATGCCAGAGGCATGTATCGCATAAATGTTTGGAGGTCGATCTATATCGTGTTTTCGGATACGCCATATACTTACATTGTTGGGTCTGTAAAAAATATAGTATCTTTGGCTTTTGCTTGTGATTTATTTTTTTTCTTGGGATGTAGAGGTGAGAAAGCCGGATTAGCTTCTTCTGAGAGAAAAAATTGTTACAGAACTTTGTTGAACACTGAACTGATCCAACGAAAAGCGATCGGAAAAAAGGGAGACGCATATATTAGAACTATTGGATCGATATCAATGGACTGGGCAGTATCAGAAGCAGGTCATAAGTGTGAAGGTATGTCTGGTACTAAGCTAATAAAAGAATTGGGGCTAACCTTGCCGAGAATTCTCAAAGATATTTTAATCCATCTTGCTAGAAAGATTCATTTTGCTGAAGAAAAGCTGAGGAAGCTAAACGTAGTCGGCTTCGCTCACGCAAATTAGTATTTTTCAGGTGACTTGAATTTTTAATAATTGTATTATTTCTTTTTAAAGACGCGGTGTTGATTAGGACAAATTTTGACTGCCTAGCTGGATACACCTGCAGATATACAAAAGGAGATCCACTTAAAGTTTATACTGATGCAAATAACTTTAATAAATCCTTGGACGTGCTGATCGAGATAATATATGGTAAGGTAAGTTATATTGGGCTCGTTTTGTTTAAGCTTTAAACTTCTTCTGATACTTAATTTCTTCTCTAGCTTCTAATACTTAAGACAATAGAAGTTATAAACAGTGGTATGGACAGTCAAAACAAGATTGCAAGATAGAAACAAGCGTTTACTAATTTCTCATTGGCCGCAAGTTAATCATATTTCCAATTGGTTGAAATTAATAATCTCTAACAATGTGATATTATTGACTAATAATATTATTATATTGCAAATGAGAAAAAAAGATCTAAGTTTTTTTATTCTTGCCACCAAACTGATTTTAGCAATGCTTACAAGCACTTTTAGCCATTTGTGAAGGCCATTATACATCCAAATTTGATTAAAAATACTTAGTAACAACTGATGAAATGTCTGGTAGATGATTTTGATCATAAATTGATTTGAATAGTTGAGTATAAAATAATATTTTTTATATTTTATTCTTATCAAACTTGAAAAAAAAACTACTATTCAGATCAACAAAAGGGCTCTTGTTAACCATATTTATTATAATTTGTATTTGTTTTTGATTGATAAAGAAAGGAAAATAGAGTGAGGTTAGTGCTTGACACAATCAAACAAAAATTTGACAGTCAAATACTTGTTAATATTTATATTTAAATTGGATATTAAATGATTGCAGATTAACTAAAGCTAAATATATACTATTGGTTAATTTGCAATCATTTGATGTCTGACTTAATCACAAGTATTAACAAATATTTGACTATTAAATTTTTGTTTGATTGTACTAAACACTAAATAAGATATTTAAATCTTTTATTTTATTTATTTTATTTTAATTTTTTTAAGTTTTTATAAAATCTTGTCTCATTAACACACTACTTGTATGCATCATTAGGAATATATAAATGTATCTAAATTGCCTTTCTGAGTAATTATTACAATAATTTGTTATTGAAATTAGTTTTGAACTTTCATATTAAATACAAAAAAAATCTAGATATTAGTTTTTTTAAAAAAAATTATTTAGGTATATGTATATCTGTAGTTAGAAAAGTGATTGTAAATATAAATAGATCTAATAATTTAAGGTTAAGTTTATAGCTTCTA